ATGAAATCATCTGCCTTGCCAGGGAGAACCACACAGCCAAAGAGTACTATCGTGTGTTCGAGCACCACACTGGGGCATGTGTCTTTATTACTAACGCACAAAGCGTGAAGCGTGGAGGGCTCCTGTCCTCATCTGGAAATTGGGGTTGGAGCGGGGATGAGGGCATAATCTGAAGATTTATAAATATCTCTTAACAAAGCCCCAGCTGAGCTGTGTCAGGCTAGCACACTCTCTTCATCTTTCCCTTACAGCTCTTCAATTTGCTTTCCAAACATTTCTTTGTTGCTGTTGGCTGGGGTGCACTTAAAAGAAGCACATCGTTAACCACAAAGAATGCTCACTGTTTTCTGTGATTTCAAATCAGTTCCAAGCACTTCCTCAGTGAACAGCCCAGCAGCAATTACCCTGCTGCTGAAGACTTACTTCTCATGACAGAAAGGCTTCGGTTTTAGAGCAGCCAACAAGCGAGGTTGTAACAAATGATGACATATGTTTCAGCCTCCATTCACTGGCGATTTATGCCCCCCAAAGGAAGCGTGAATCAATTTTTGTGCAAATTCAACAGGCACATCCGACAATGCTGCTCTCTTCTCTAACTCTCACAAACTAGGCATTCATCAACCCGGATTACTTGCCTCAAATGGGGACTCACAGTTGCTAAGTGGCTCGGTGGGGGTGGGATTCCTCTGTGTCGAAAAGGGGCAAAGTACAAGGAAAGGACAAGAATCCATCAAGGAAGTGAGAGCTGAGTTCATTCATTGAGACAAAATAGTGAAGTTAAAAAAAAAAAAAAACTGCAAAAGGACAGACAGCTTCCAGCCCCAGCCCTAGCAATTCTGTGAGAGACTGTAGAAAGTGGCCTCCAAGGATCCCTGGTAACTTCTCAGGTGCAAAACCATCCAGAACAATTCAGCCCATAGATAACACTGAGACAGGTTTCACTTCGAAATCAAATTTCTCTTTTTTCTTTCCCATTCTGTTCATACCTGGTTCAGGACATTTGCAGAACTATCTCCAGAGGTAGTCAGAGGGCTACAAAATGGGTCCAACAATGCCTACAAAATGGGTCCAACAATTTTCCCCAATGCCTGGTCTCTGGATATAGTTTTAAGATTGGCTACAGCTGTTTTTGAGAGAATGAATTCAAAAGCTGACTTTTCACTCTGCTAGCCTACAAACAAATATCACACTGCCCTCTGGAGGCAGTCTCGTTGGGTCTAACCCTGAATTAGTGATTGGCAACCCCTGTATAAATGGGTTGTGGAGGTTTAGAACTCTTTTTCTAGAGGGCTGTGACAGAGAAGGTGTGCTGAAGGGAATATGAATAGGAATACAGTGGAGAAATTACAAACTGTTCACTAATTTCTGTGAGTGGGGTGTGTGTGCGAGAGAGAAAGAGATGGGGAGGGGAGGGAGACAAACTAAAAGAAGGTGAAAAGTTATCCTTGTCTCCCAGTCTCAGCAGTGTCAAGAGCGAGTAGATAGATGCATGTAGCAGAGAAGTACTCAAGGAAGGCGGGATTGTGGTCAGTGTGGATGAGGGTGGTGGAATCTATTTTCCACCAGTACATTCCAGGAGATACACTACATGATCAAAAGCTGAGTTACAAAGTGCTATCCAGGGTCCAACTGGGCTGCTCAGGATGTTCGCCCTGGACACTCAGTCATTCTGCTGTTAGGAAGCAAACAATTTCCTACAGAGGCCAAGTTCTCACCACAGTACCAGCTCAGTCCAGCCAACAGCCAACACCAACCGCCAGTCAGACAAGTGAGGGAATGAGCCTTCCAATGATTCCATCCATTCACCATGAAGTTGACACCAAATGGAGAGGAAAATCTGTCCCTGGTAAGCTCTACTCAAATTGTTGATTTGTGAACAAAATAAGTGTTTTCACTGTATTAACCCCACTGTGTTCTGGGGTGGTTTGTTATATAACAATACATAACCAAAACAATGGACAAAGTCCCCTCTGACACTGGACCCACTTGTGGCACTGAATAAACTTTGCCTAAAGAGAAATGGAACCCGCCTCCCTAACTTTCATAGATTATTACACTTTGGGTTGATTCTTAACCTTATCTTTTCCTCTTGGCCCCGGATTACATTGTCCAAGGAATATCTCTCAAGTGAAATTGCATGTATATGTATATACATGTCGTGTATACTACCTGGTGCTTTGTGAAAATTTGAATTATGGCCACTATTTAGTAATCAGAAGATTTTATACACAAAGATGCACATGCATTCACACACCTCTAAATTTCTCTTTCCTCAAAAAACAAAACTACTAAAAGATGGGCAATATTTGATTTGCAATTCCACTGGACAGTAATTTGCTCACAAAACTCTGGATTCTTCAGTCCCCTCTACTCAGTTGCATCACATCCTGCCCTTTCCACTCAAGTCCCATTACTCTTTTTTGCTGCCTGGTCTCTATAGATATTTAGGTTTGTGACATCTATTTAGACATAATTCTCTACCTGATTGGTTGGGATTCATTATTATATTATTGCCCAGGATTTACTATCCTACCGAAAGAAGAATTTAATTAGAAAAAGGAAATTCATAATGAAAGAAGAAGAAATATCTAAAAGTCAAGTTTTTAATTAAATAAAAAAGGATGAAATAAACAAAGGGGGAAAAGTAAGGAGAATAGGTGGCTGCGATATCAACTTAAGGTGTGGCATATGGTTTTATGCCATCTCCCACTGTCAAGTTTATTGATACTCCAGAAACCAATGCTTTTTGTTTCATTGTTTCATATAAAGTTTGTTCTCACTGAGAGTATGTTATAAGAAATCCAAAGTCTAGTAGCAGAATCACATACACTGTGATAAGGACCCCTACTTAACTTTTGGTTTAGTTGCTGAGAATACCCTTGACATTCCTCTGTATGAAGAATCTCAAATAGTTTCTAGAGGCATTATTCAATTCCAAGTGTGGGGAAATGGAGCCACACAGCTTAGGTGACCCTGCTGCAACTCATACATTACTTTTTATTAGTAGTCTCTGCTGTTTTCATTTTATTAAAGGGATTTTCAATAAATTCTCTTTCTAATTAGTTGATTTGCATAATTTCATGGTATTTTACAGGTCCTAAAATGTGTAGGATATTTAAGGAAACATAGTACTAAAAGATGTCAGCCAACTAAGAAAATTATTATCCTTCATAAATGAAAATCTGGATTCCACTTCTTCAGGAATAAAAATGAAAGAAGAAATCCTATTTCTTGCTTATTAAATATATTGAAAATCCCTCCATTGCCAGGCTTATCTGCTAGTGGTATATGTTCACTAATGAAGAAAAAGTCTATGGATTAAAATCAATGTGAAGAGCACTTAATTAATTCTTATGCAATCTTTATGAAGAACTACCAGCAATGTGAAAACACTGAAGTTTAACAAAGTCTGTTTGTGGTGGGTCCGGTATGGCATGTTGAAACAGGAGTCTACTCTTGGTTTTTCATTTGATATCAAATTAGTTCAGCTTTCTAGAAACTCTACTCATTTGAAAAACACAATAGTGAGTTATTTTGTAAAGTATGCCTTGTTTTATGACATTACCATAGTAAGATTTTCCAGGCCCCCTTCAACAAAACATGCAAAATAAAAGTACATATTATCTTCCCAATCCTAAAACAAACAAAATGAGTCAAATAGGTATTTAAAAAAGGTATTTTCTAACTCATATCACAGGAGAGTTAAGTTATTCAGCAGGTGAGGCCTGTGTTTGGGGTCAGTTTTTTGGTTTACACATTTAATGTCTGAGATGCTGCAGCAGGAGAAAATTTATACATCAATGGCTTCAGCAGTGTAATCCTCATAAAACTTTATTTTATTGGAGTTGTAGAGTACTTATTTTGGGAGGAAAGGATTTATTTATGAAGAAATAGACAACAGGGTTTTGAACTTTTTATTGTTGTCATTTTCTTTCTAGCCATGTTAAGAGCTCAGTGCCAGAATTAGATTTAAATTTGATAGCATCTCAGTCACAGTGATGTGGAAATTGAACTCGGAAGTCAGGAATAAGATAACTGAGAAATGCACTCTGAAATCCATCCAATACATTGGTTTTAATATCATCAGAGCCTTAACACAATGCCAGAACAACTAGGAGTTTTCATCTGGATGAACTTTCATTTGGGTAAACTTTGCTAAGTCACAAAGAGAGTATATTCACCATGAAGCTATGTCATGTGAAAAGTGTCCAATAGAAAGGTCACGTAAAAGAGATGTCCAGAAAATCTGAACTAATTATTCAGGTCATTTTATATTTTTTTCCTATGCATTAAGGCATATATGAACAGGCAACATCGCTAATCCAGGCTCCTTCAAAGTGAAGCGACAGCAGTCAAAATAGTTTGTTAGCCATGAAAGTAAGTGACAAGTTTTGCCACATTTAATAGGGGGTTTGCCTAGGAACTCTAGGTTTTGCAGATTTCTAACTGTGGCCTCCTAATGGGCTTCCTGGGGAACTTTCATTCATCTCGCAGAGGCGGGAGCTGACACCTGCCCACGCCTGAGGCTGCAAAATGCCCAGGATTGGGGAAGTTCTGAGATGTTCGACTCTACACAGCAGACAGAAAAGTGCTAAAGCTGGACCGACACTAACAGCAGCCCTGCTAGGTCCCCAATGCCGGGAGGTCGCTCTCCCGCCCCACCAAGGGATGAAGGGTGAAGAGAATGCGTGTCAAATGTGTACCTGGGGATCCACTAAGTGGGGCGCTGGAGACTGCAAAGTTCAGAGACAGAAAAGTGCCTGGGGCCACCAGCGCTCAGCTTCCCGAGGGCAAAAGTCCCAGCGGGGCATCGGATGCGAGGAGCCGAATGAAGGGCGCCTTAGGCTCTGGGGGGTGCAGGAGGTGATCGCAAAGGGGAGCGCGTGAAGAGCCGGTGTGGCGGGGCCGCGGGTGGCCGGCGTCCAGCAGCAGCGGCCGAGCGCCCGGGGGTCCGGACCGGACGGGGCTCATCAGGCCGACTCCGGGAGGGAAGCGCTTACCTGCAGGTAGGGCCGCCCGTGGGCCACCCCGCCCACGACGATGTCCGCGGAGGCCATGGCCCCGGTGGGCGAGAAGCCGAAGCCCACGTAGCCGGCCGTGCGCACCTCCAGGCGGAAAGCGAGCCCGCCGCCGCGCGGACCCCAGCTCAGCCAGTACTGGCCGTCGGCGTCCAGGAGGGCGCGATGCGGGTAGGTCGGGTCCGCGCCCCCCACCGTCGCGCCGGGGAGCAGCCCCCCCAGCAGGAGCAGCGACCACCAGCGCATCCTCGAGCGCCTTCTGCCCGCCGGCACCTGGGCTCCCGCCGACTGGCGAGGCGGAGACGCTCGAGGGGCGGGAGGACCAGGACCGCCTTCTCGGTCCGCCGCGCGCCCCGCCCGCCCGCCGGGAGGGGAGGCACCAGCCCTCGCTCCCCGCCCCCGGCCACCCGCCCAGCCCGTCGGGCCCGGGTCCTGCCGGCTCTCGCCCGGTCCCGCCCTGCCGGCCCATCCACCTGCCGCCGCGCGCCCGGCGTGGGTCTCTGCGGCCCGGGCTCGGTGGGGAAGGAAGCGAAGGGCAGCCCTGGATGGAGTGAGAGGAGCAGGCAGAAGGGGAGAAAAGAGGGCCAGGACAGAGCAGAGGGAGAAGGGAGAGGCTAGCGTCTGGGGAGCTAGCGTCTGGGAGGCTAGCGTCTGGGCCCCTGTTGGAGAAGTAGTGGCGGGGCGGGGAGGGGAGGGTTCCCTGGATAATGAGAAACTGGTGAAAGGGGGCAAGAGTAACCCAGCGCAGAAAAGGGGGACTTGAGTCCTGAAACAGTCCTGGGAGTGGCAGAGGAAAAGTGAGAAAAACGCCTATGCAGAGCAAGTGTTCTGCATCTTTCTGTTGGCCCTTGAGTGCCAGGAGCCAGTGTGCCCAGGGAGGGTAGGACTCACCTCCTCCAGTTCACTTCTGTCACCCTTTCTCCCTGAGGGGGACCCCCAAATCTGGGAAAGTCTAGTTGCTGGCAGCAAGAGTCAGCACCCTGATGCTTGCCCTCTGCCTGGTTGTTTCTTGATTTGGTTTGGAGAGGACCAGACTACTTTGCCATCAACAGAGTAGGTCAGGAGTGGAGGATCATTGGAGGGTTAGCTTTATCTTGAAATCCACTCTTCCTGATATTTCAAGTTCTGATCACAGTCATGTTTATCAAAAAATGTTTTTGCCTCTACCTTTGACCATATCTTTGTTTTTATTTTTCATGTAAGGTATTTTTTAAATATCACTTGCCATTGATTTATAAAGCTGTATAAATTTCAAGGGTACAGGGCCTCCCCGGTGGCGCAGTGGTTGAGCGCTGGGTTGCGAAGCTGCCCGCGGCCTCTGCGGCGCTGGTTCGATCCCCGGCTGCTCCCCGGCCACTGGAGGAGGGTCCCACATGGCGTGCAGACCTCTCCTGCCGCCCGCTGCTCCCTTCAGCAGTGTACTTCGGTCCTTCTGCCTGCTCTGCTCCCCGCTCTGGCTCTGGTGAATTCTCTCACCCTCCTGCGCTTCTGACTGTACCCAGTGCATGTATAAACGAACAAACAAACAAATAAATAAATAAAAAACATGCCTCTATAAAAAAAAAAAAATTTCAAGGGTACATATTCACCTCTAAGTGTTTATAAATTCGCCCAATACCAAATCCTTGCCACACTTCAGTCAGATGACATCAACCCCTTCATGGGTGGTGCTTTGGAATCTTTCCCCCAGACCACCCAATGGGAACCCTAACACTTAAGTGTCTGTCTACGTGCTAGTTTTCCTCCAGTAGCCCCTTTAGGTCCAGAACTGCTTCCAGTTTCTCCCAATATCTGAAATATGGACCAGCATGCAATAGGTGCTTAATGAATACTTGTAGGAAAAGTAAATAGATGCATTTCAATATCCTCCTGGAAGAATCTTCTTAACAAAGTTGGACTTCGAGGGGAAAGATTGGCCCCCCAAATGACTAAATGTTCTATGTATTGGAGTTACATTGGGATTGAGGCAAAAATAGAAAAGGCCATATATATATATATATATATATATATATATATATAAAGAAAGTTTTAAATGGTTTTTATTATTTCATTAAGTAAGATCACTGAGTATTAATTTATTACCTTTTATTTGCCTGTTTCCAGTATTCCATCTAAAACAGAGTACTCAAGAAATAGCAAAACTAATAAAATAATATTGAGATTTACTTCATAAACAGATCACTACTAGTATAATTCATACTCAAGAGACCCATTTCGCTTTGACTTGAATTACCCCTGTTAATGAAGACAAAAGAGAAAATTTCATTTAAGTGTGTGCTTCATAAGCTGCCTGAGATACCTAGATCAAAACCAACTCCCTACTCTTTTGCAATGAGAACTCAGTTTCCCAATTTAGGGATTAATTACTGTCTAAGTGCTTGTTTTAAATCTGTAAGGGAAACAGGCAGAAGTCACAGTCCATTAAAAACTTGGGATATTAGGAAGAGAGGAATGAAATCAGTGGTAATCATTCTTTAGCGAACTATTGTTTTTATAAAAATGACATTTGATCCTATTTAAAGGCAAATGCAGAAGAATATGACTAGACAAGAGAACTAAAGAAAAATCACTTGAAATTCCTACATTTAAAAATAACTGTTGTATGCATTATGATAGCTTCATTCCAAAACCTTAGAGAACAGATTTTTGGGGGGTAGGAATTTGCAAAGAAACAGGTAAATTAATTTTGTAAGACTCCACTTGAAATAGAGTGACGCTCAACATGTCAGTTACAGTCACTTTTTAGGTTTCTTCCCTCCACATGTCCTCAAAAGAAACAGAACAGACAAAACTAGAGTTTCAGAGAGATTTTACTTTAGTTCAGAGCACTCAACCAAATTATTCATTCTGAAGATGAATCATTTCCTCACACTTTCCAATCTTTTAAATGTAATGTTTATTTTGCATCTTGACCCACTCTGATACACAGCTTGCAATGAGCCAGTGTGATTGCATTCATGCTGAGTTTCCTCACCTTCAAATCCTCTGCTGAGAAGTTTTATTTATATTTCCACATTTGTCTATTGCAAGGAGGAAAGGAGGAAAGAAAAAGAAGGCCCAAGGGACACTAAAAGCCAATGCAAAGTTACTTATATGATCTAGGATTGTGTGAAATAGGTTTTTATTTAAATATGGCAATTTTGTAATTTTTCTGGCTACTCATATGTAAGGTACAACAATAACACTAAATATTTATAAAGATCCTGTCTTCCAGGGAGCACAAAGAAAAATATTTTTATAAGAGATTCTAGCAGTTCTCCAACATTCAAATGGGGCATAAAATGAAGTACTTTCTCACCTTTGTCTATTAACTAAGCCTCTTGTGTGTCTAGCTAGGAGTCAGCGAAGGTTGGTCACTGGTTAAACTAAATAATGAGTCAGTAGTGGCAAAAAAAGCCAAAAATTAACTTTGGTTTCTTTCTTATTTTTAACTACATAATTTCTCTAACTCTCACCTCATCTCAACAACAAAAAAAATTTAATAATTTTAAAGCCACTAGTTCATCACTGTGAAATATTCTTTCAGCAGGGCTGATATTTTTCATGTATGCAAGATGTTCTTCATTTAATAATGGATGGTACTAACGATGGTGCAATGTGGGTGAAGATAAGGACATAATGCACTTACTTTTATTACCAGGAAGATGAAATGGGCTTAATTGAGTTCTTAGGTTTACTTTGAAACTGAGTGCCAGCGGCCATTGAAAATCACTCTTAGGTATTTCCATATAAAAATAACAGCAAGCAGACCAATTTCTCTGTACAAAACCTATATTATAGCATTATCTATAAAGTATGCTCTGAAATAACACTATTTCAACTTAAAAAAAAGTCATGAAAAAAATACTTTTTTTAATCACTAATGATCCTCTGTTCAAATTTCCTTTTAAAGAGAATTATTTATATCAATAATATGGTAGGGGAGAAATTACTTAAAGCGCTTGGTCTTGGTCTATATTTTGTAAAGCAATGTTTACAAAGTCGCTTAGATTTTGATGAGAGCAAAAGTTTCCTAAATTACGTTCTTTATCAAAATGATGTTTATTTAGCTTACAAAAAATAACTGTATCCTCACATTTTGACAAATTTCTCTTCTATAGGGATGAAGCAATGGAAGTCCGTGAAGATGAGAGGAGAAATTAATAGTAAAATATGCTGATTTAGTCCTAGGCTTGTTAGCCTTGGAAGCAAACTTGAGTTCCCTCTGGTTCATGCTCTTATCTTGAAGCTAGGGAAAGTACATCTTAGAGAGAAGAGTGTTGTTAAAAGTCACAAATTTTATTTACTTTTTTAAAAAGATTTATTTTTATTTATTTATGCATATAAGAACTGGGGTGTAGGCCAGAGGTGGGGTGGGGAGGGTATGAGAGGATTCACCAGAGACAGAGTGGGGAGCAGAACAGGCAGATCTACTGAAATCACTTCTGAGGGGAGCAGTGGGTGGAACACAGAGGTCTGCTGTGCCATGTGGGTCAGCTCCCTGGCCAGGGATCCAACTCCTGCTGCAGTGACTGCCTATAGCTTCTTAGTGCTGAGGTTTAACCACTTGCGCCACCCGGGAGGCTCAGGTTACAATTTTTAAATAGACAGAAGCGTGAAAGTTGGTTGTCTGACAAAATTAACAGCAATGTCTGGCTCTTTCCAGATCCTCCACTTGACAGTTACTCTTTAGATGACTCATGTGCACCACTGGTGTTGGTTTTGCCAAGTTTGAACTTCCCTAAACATGTTGGGAGAATGAGTAGAGAGGAAGAAGTCATTGTGAATACAGCGACATTCCCCCCAAGATACTCCCTTACTGGCTACACCATCAATTTGGCATTTAAATGCATGTGATTCTACGTGCTTATTCTTCTATGGTCATCAGCTTAAAGTGATGAGCAATGAGTGATGAGCAAGCAGCATCAATTCAAAACTGAATATGAATTTAGCTCCACACTGAGAATGATGAGATGATTCAGTATTACTTGATTCTGAAATTCTACATGTGCTTTTGGGAAAAATTTAAAGAAATCTGTACTATAATGAAAAAAAATAAGGAAGAAATACAAATATAAAAATTTAATTATCCAAAAACTTAATTGAAGTCATTACAATCATTTCCACACCTAATAAAAAAAAAAAGTTTCCTTTAAATGAAAAAAAAAATGTTAGCAATCATTTTACGTATGAAAAATGCAGATATAAGATATAATCAGGTAATGAGTGTTAAGGCTTTGAAGCTCTCTAATCAATACTTAGTCTCATTCTTTTGGAAATTCCCACATTAAAAACCCAAATTAGAAGTTAAATAAAT